AATTTCAAAATTTAAGATACTCTTTCCAGAGATAATATCGGTTTAAAAAAAAAAAAATAATATTTGTGCTTGAACCTTTAGTTCTATATTATGTAATGTATATTTAAATATTTTATTCAGAATTTATCAAATTTAAAACATAATATTATTAAAATAACAAAAACGCGTAAAGCTTTCGATTTACTTTTTGTTTCATTAGATTCGGAATAAGAAAATACATATAAAATGATCTCTGTATGAGTTTTAAAGTCGTATGTCTGAGGTGGGCGAAGTTTTTTTTTCTCGAAAATAAGGTGTTTTGCACCACTCGGTTTATTGAAGTCACTAATGACTTTTTTGATGTAGCTAAACTTTATGTACTTTTTTGTTAATATCAACCATATTTATTGATAGTGCATAACATTAAAAGCATAAATATGACGAAACTCCTTTTATGCATTAAAAATAGTTACTCTAAGAGCAGAATGTTGTGATTTAATAGAGGGAAAATTCGTCGAAGTATTTCCTCATTTATTTAAATGTTTTATTACTTAATGGCTTTTTGAAATAAGTTCCATCATTCTTAATTATTAATTACTATAAACAAAACTGAAATAATAGGGAGTTTGAATAAAATAATATTATAAATGAGTCATTTATCAAAGTCATTATAAATGAGTTTGACAAAATATGGGAAGTTCTGACATCTTGGGTATTGGGAAAAAACGGTTTCTTTTACGACTGGCGCCATAGATCACTAACAACAAAGAGCCGACAAGAAGGTTCGAAAGTAATAAAAATTGGACAAACTTCTCAGGTAAAGAGGACTCTATATTTGCATGGCAACATGTAAAACTAAAATATTCTCAACTGGAACCTACTCAATTTTGTAAATAATTTCGTTTTTTTCTGGTATCCAAATACGAATTATTAATTTAAAAGTTTAGTTACTATAGTGAAATAATTTTTTACTGATGAATAAATATTTTTTGCTCAAAGTTTATTTATTAGATGATTGAGTATGGTGGCGAAAAATAATAATACCCTATTAAAACCAGCATACTGATGCCAATAATTAATTTTGAATATCGAAATAATTAGAAAATTAATTCTATTTTAGCAAATATAAGAGAAATATGTAAAATAGATTATATTAAAAAAACTAAAAAGCTTTCATTGAAAGTGTTAGTATTGTTTTTCTTTACCAAATATAAAAAATAGATAAATAATAATGAAAAAAATTTATATAAATTTAAAGAAAGTATAAGGGGTTGAACCTCTCATATATTTCTTATCATGGACAAATAAAAGGATTCAAAACCAATATATAACAGAAAAAAAAAAAAATCATTTGCCTTCTAATGTTCCGTAGATATTAAACAAGATTTAATTAAAGAACAGTTTCAGACCAAAATAAATTTTAAAAAATTAGGAAGAAAGGAGGAAGACTCATTCCTTTAGTTTTGAAGAAAGTTAAAAGTAATTTGAAGATTAATAATATTTCGGTTACCATAACAAGATGACGCTTGAACAAGCATAACTAATTGAAACAATAAAAATTACCAATATCTTGACAGTAATAGTAAAATATTTTTATTCGATAACTTATCCAATATGGCAACTATACTTATCATAATTATAGTTCTGATCTATCAGATGATAAAGAGCTTCCGGTTTTGAAATCAGCCTTTCGCTAACCGAATACGTTGATTAAGAGTTATCCAATCATACTTGAGGAGGCGTTAGAACTGTTTGGAAAATATAGAAATAAAAAACAAATTTAATTTCAGAATCCCAAATGACTTAATTTTCAAAATGAAGTCACCATCATGTAGATTCGCCAGTGCTATACACCATAAAAAAGAAAAAAAAACTGATGAGAGAGATTAACTGTGTAAAGTTAATGAGACTGCGAGAAAAACCGTGTACAGAAAGTTTTTATAAAAAATGTAGATAAGAGAAAACTAGAAATGGCATTAATTCTCTTTTGGAGGTTGAAGCTAGAAAGTGTAACAGTGGCCACCAACTCCATTGTTCCGATCTTATTCTTTTGTATTTTTATGTTCGTTTTATGAGAAATAACTCGCTTTTTGTCACGTGACTCCGGAATAAATATAACTTTTACTGAATTGATAGGAACTATTTACACACAGTGTTATAAATATCTTCGATAGAAAATGTGAGAAAGCACTTCATCCATTTAAAACGCAAATTATAACGTTAATATTCAGTGTCCCTTGATCGTGACTTAGACAAGTAACGATTTGCCCTCAAACGAGTATTATTAAAATAACCGCTATCGGGCGAACGACAACGCAGCGTAATGTAACGAGGCACTTGTTACCTCAATTGCGAACTTACGTAAAAGTTCTCTCTAACACGGGACACGTAGAATAATTTTTTATTTATTTTATCACCGACACTGTCTTGATCTCAGCTGGATACGGGACCTCATAACTGGACTTACAGTGAGCTCTGGAGTGCAATATATCTAACAGAACAGAGATAGCGTTCATGAAAAAGAATGGCATTGTTAAATGCCAACTCTATGCGAGTAGGTTGTAAAAGAGAGAAAGTACCTTGTTAGACATGTTATAATAATAGCATAAGAAATTCTTTAGTTAATTCCTATATTGACGAAATCCTAAGTTTCTTCGCATAGCATTTTCTACAAAGAAACAACCTTTTTGCACATAAAAGATTCATTGCCTGTTCACTGAACATACTTATTTAAAATAATACTTTTTTATGTGGATATTTTTTAAATTGACGATGAGCTTAATAAACACAATAGCCTCCTTACTTCAGTTGCATTTTTATTGTTATAATTTGAGTGCCCATTAAGTCTATCATATTTCATTTGAAATTAATATGAAATAAAAGCGAAAAAATGAAAACAAATTATAATGGAGAGTACACAATATATCGAAGTTTAGATGTGTCTTAAGATCTAATAAAAATGAAATAATGGGCTTACATCAAATAATTATTTTTAAAATAAACTTCGTCGCCGATGACAAACAATTCAAAACTAATGTATCATTTGAATTTTTTTTTGTTTAATTTAAAAAGTTTGCTAAGCCTTATTATTGTTATTAATAAAATTAAGACTAAAAAATTTAAGACGTTACGCGATACATCCTTATTTCTAACTTATATCTAAGTCCCACAGTCTATTACTACTAAACAGGTATTTTTCGTTAATAAATACTTATATACACTAATTAAATTTTAGTTAGTTTAAATATCTTCGTTAATAAGCAGGTCAATCAATAGAGGAACCAATATATAACTATATAAAAAAATTGATAGCAAAATATACTTCAAAATATCTATACATATATCATCGCAATATATACGATTTCAATTACCCTAAATAAAATTAACCACACAACAAAACAATATCATATATATCTTACAAATAGTTAATTCGAATTTATTTCTTTGGGTATATTTTTTATTTATATTGCTCTCAATCTCTTTACTATTATTCTACATTTATTTTCTATTATTCTCCCTATAACTCTGTCCATTTTCAATATTTTTTAAAGTTATACCAGTATCTAATTTATTGTATTTATTTTATGCTTCATATTTATTGTTACTAGGAGAAAATTTGTTAGTAAATTATCTTAGTGTCTATTACTGGTGCATTTACTTTAAATTCCACCGTTTTACATCATTACCATTTTCTGATTCTGTGTTTCGTTTAAAGTTCACTATTACAGAATAATCCGTCGAAGTATCGTTTGTTAGTAAGTAATAAACAAAAAGTGGCCAATACATTTCTTTTTTTATAAAAAAATTGTCAAATATATGTTAGGCTAACGGGAATATTAGAGCCACCCACTAGGGGATCCAGGATTTAATTTTGGGGGAGGGGGCTTCTGCCTCTTTTCATATATATATAACGATAATTACTTTGAAAAAAAAAAAGAAAGATAATAACTAACTACATGAAATGGTTGTTTAAGTGATTCTTGAAGTCCTATTAAATTTAATTACACGAACAACTATACTTTAAGACATTATTTTTTACCATAAACCATTTTGGGGAACTTTTCTCTCCTCACCCTCCCCCCCCCTCCCCTCCCAGAGAAGCCATCTTGTCTTTGTCTGAGTTTTTGACAGAACATTCCTAAACGAGTAGGACAAAGAGTTCTCAAGCAATAAACTAAGTACTTTACCTGCCGTACCCAAGTCATTTATTGTTTATGGTCATGCTACTTTTGGTCATGCGTCCACTGTACTTTTAAGATCAGGTACAAAAAAGACCTTTTCTAAATTTAGAGAAGGCAAATCTTCCCAGAGCTTACCTTTGAACATTTCATACTGGTATTTTTGGTCATACGACCATGGTACTTTTAAGAACAGGTATAGAGAAGACCTTTTCTAAATTTAGACGAAGGCAAATGTTCCTAAAATTTACCTCTGACCTTTTCAAACTCGTACTTTTCTTAAAAATTACAACCACCTCTAAACATGAATATTTGTACCTTTGAAACTAGAGAGAGAAGTCATCTTGTCTTTGTCTGAGTTTTTGACAAAACATTCCTAAACGAGTAGGACAAAGAGTTCTCAAGCAATAAACTAAGTACTTTACCTGCCGTACCCAAGTCACTTATTGTTTATGGTCATGCTACTTTTGGTCATGCGTCCACTGTACTTTTAAGTTCAGGTACAAAAAAGACCTTTTCTAAATTTAGAGAAGGCAAATCTTCCCAGAGCTTACCTTTGAACATTTCATACTGGTATTTTTGGTCATACGACCATGGTACTTTTAAGATCAGGTATAGAGAAGACCTTTTCTAAATTTAGACGAAGGCAAATGTTCCTAGAATTTACCTCTGACCTTTTCACACTGGTATTTTTCTTAAAACTTACAACCACCTCTAAACATGAATATTTGTCCCTTTGAAACTAGAGATAAATTCCATCTACAAGTAAAACTGTATGAAAATTCTAATAATGTATATATTATTTTAATAATATCTAGCAAAAATTACATATAATTAGTTCACCTTGAACCAGGAGTATCATGCAATCCAATCTGACCGTTGATCATCGAGGATTGGAATATTTTTACATCAGGTGTAGGATTAATTTATTCAATGGACTATATCTATTTATACAGAAAAACAATACTTTCAACGAAAACATTGTTAATATTATTGCACTGACTTATTAAGGAATATAATTGAAGGATCAAGTTAATAATGGATTAAAATTCATCATTTACTATTTGGACTATTCTTTCTTATAACAACTTGATATTTTTTTTTTCCAAAAAAAAAAAAAGTTAAATAAATGGATGAACTAGTTTATTATAAATACCTTTTTAAAATTTTGTTTATTTTTCTACTTTATTATTTCATTGGGAAAAAACTTTTGTTGGTGTTACCGTATCTTAAATAATATAAATTAGTTATAATATTGTATTAATTGAACATTTTTCTAATTATTTTTTTTCCTTTTCAGGTAAGAAAACATGAAAAAAATTGAACTTGCAGTTTGTCTGTAAGTAAAGGATAATCTAGCTTCATAATTTTAAAGTTAATGTCATTAATTCTGCTGCTGATAAAAAGGTACTGAAACCCCACAGAACTTTTTTGAATTAAGTGTTCCCTACGTATTTTTTTATTTTTATCATTATTATAAAGGTAAACGAAAAAAATAGTCAATAGGCTCGAAACATGTTTAAAGATAAAATAAATTGAAAAAATTTTAAGGTTTGATATCGCGGTATGCTGTATTATAAAATGAAAATATCTATAAAAAAATAAAATCGTTCAAAATAATCAAATATAAAATTGAAGTTTTATTCTAACTCTATTTAAAAAAAAAATAATTAAGTAATGTTATATTGTTCCAACAAAAAACCTTTTTAAAGGTTTGTATTTTGTTGAAGCGCTTTTTATTGCACAATTTGCTGACAGATGTTGGTTTTGTATTGACCAACGTCATTCGAGAAATGCGTTCTACATCCTTCTCGTGTGCCGTTGCCAACTCTTGCGGTAAACTTATCGTTTAATGTGGTTTACCCTTCAGACATCCTATGAGCAAATAGGCCTCCAAGTATGATAAATAAGATTGCTCGAAATAATAATTTGTACGCGTATAGCTTGTTAATGCAGAAGTGAAGGGATGAAATAGAAAAATAAATTTGGAACCTATACATTAAGATATGACCCCCTAAGCTCGAAGGGTTAATCATTTAGTGAAATAACCAAAATTATACATAGCTGTTTTGTATTTCATCTCTGGTTACAAGCGCAGATTCCTGAAACAGAGGCCGTAAGCATTACATGATTTCTAGTTTCACGTCTGTGATCTTCATGTAATACCGTGGCTCATTAGAACGTAACGCAGTTACGAGTCTTGAGAAATTCACTTCAGGTGGATAATACAATAGATGGTGAATAAATTAATGAATTATAATCCCAAAGACATCGAATTGCAAATGGGAAATCGTTCGTGGTCAATCAGTATTAATTAAACATCGGAAAATCCAATACGTTGGAAAATATTTTGATAGTGGCAGGAAAATAGGAGATTGCTTATATCAGTGATGATTACGATCAACTAAGTCAGGTAGGTATGGGGTGGCCTAGTGATCAAGGCACTAGACTCGAATCTCATAGACCCAAGTTCGAATCCAGGTAGCTGGGTCAAATTAATAATATCCATTTGATCAGTCACCGATGGAATAAGGAGGATCGACAGAAATTCTCCAAGGAGAAACACTTATTAAAAAAGTGAAAATCTTATTATTTTAGACTATCTTAATTATTATAAAAGGTATCTAACCTAAAAGCATTTTAGAGGCAGTAGTCGAAAAACTTTTTTTTTATATGTTTATTCTTAATTTCTTAATTATTATAAAATGTATCTTAATTATTATAAATGTATCTTAATTATTCTAAGTATCTTAATTATTAAAGTATATTATATAAATGTATCTTAATTATTAAAGTATCTTAATTATTATAAATGTATCTTAATTATTATAAAATGTATCTAACCTAAAAGCATTTTAGAGACAATAGTCGAAAAACTTTTCTTTTATATGTTTATTCTTAATTTTATTTACCTAATTAATTAAATAATATTTTAGTCTAGTTTGTTACTTTTATTCTCGCATATTTTCCGTAACTTCCTCAATCTAATCTAATCTCTTTGGGTTAGTCATTCCACCTTGCACAGCTGGTGGAAGAAATTAAAGTTCAATCAGTGTTGCTATTTTAAATACTCGTCAAAAAAAAAAACATCAAAATACTTCACTCGTCAGTGTTGACGTCTTTTGTACAGATTTAGTAATTAAAATATATCAGGCCTGGCTAATGTTGATACAATGAATTCTTTCTACATGACTCGGAATATTTGCTATCAATTTTTAAATATTTTTATTGATATCGAAAAGAGGCCATTTGTTCTCTTAACTAGACAATCTTATTATTATTATTTACTTTTTTATTTCAAAACATTAATTCATGAAAATTAAATATCAGTTGCTAATATTATCTACGCTCTCTACGAATAATCTTAATTTTGTTAACATTAGGTCAATGTTTTATATTGCAATAAATTAAGAATTCTTTAAATTTTTATAATAAAAATGGCACTGATAATGATTAAGATTAAAAAAAAAATGGATTTTAAGAACATATGGATGATTTATTACTTTTTTAAAAGAAAATTCTACATGAAGAATTAAAAGATGTTTTGTAGGAATAGTGTGATAAAATTTGTATTAAAAATTTATTTATATCAAGATACTATTTTATAAAAAACTTTTGAGAAAATAGGATATTTTCTTGTAATCTAGGATAATTATATGATATGACATATAAAGGTTTCTATACTAAGGAAGAGGAAAAAAAAAATAAGGAGAGCAAAAAGATTTTAAAAAAACAAAAACAAATATTATTTAAAGAAAATTATATTTTCTCTTATCTCCTAGTTATGAAGCAGAGATCTAAATCAAAAAATCAATTGTATTTCAAAATCAACAGATAATGAATATAATTTTTAATTCGAACTTTGACCACCAAATAATAATTTGTATTTTTACAAGAATATATTGCAATACCTCCTAAGCACCATATAAGGTAATTTTGAAAATAAGAAAAAATGTTGGATATAAAATATACAGAATAGAATAATAGGCTTAGCAAACCTGAAGGTTCGATATCAACACCACTAATCTCTTATTCCTATACGATATAAAATACACATAAGTAGAAAGTACAAAAATTCAGATAATGGAGATAGGATATCACAAAATATTTTAAATCACTAAAATATAAATAACTTAGCTTATTTCAGTTTTTTATTTCATGTATTATTATTTTTCTTTCTTTATTTATTTTTAATGAGCTAGATCAGTATACAGTTAATATATAAATTTAATGAAAATATATATATATAGAATTTTTTTTTTTTAATCTTATTTATTGAAAAATATTACAATCTGTCTCAAGGACATTTATAACAGTGTTCACAGATCACATTCACACTCTATGTACAGTAAATAAAATAAATTATACAGAAAAAAAAAAAAAAAAAATGGAAAGATATCTGAGACAATTCAGATTATGCATATATATATATATTCTTTTTTTTACGTTAATACCTTTTTTCTCACCTGTAAACATATGTTTAAAAAATGTAATTAACAGACATAATACTATGTTAGAAATAATGTTAAGCTACAATGATGATAACTAATAAATATAAAAAAAAAAAAAAAAAAAAAAAACATGACATAATAAACAAAAATAGAAAAATGAATTTGGTTAATTATTGAAGGAAGTTAGTCTACTGTTCTACATATCACGGGTGATAAATATTCAGGACGCAGTCTTTTTTTAATTTTTATTTTTATTTTTGCCAACGTTTCAACCCATACATGTGGGTAATCTTCAGGGCGTGGTTTGAGCACTAAAAAAAATGTAAAAAAGACTGTGTCTTGAATATTTATCACCCTTGGATAATTATGTTAAATAGAGAGTGGAATAGCTCAAATGATCTTTCGGGCTGAAGAAAATGAAATTATTTTTTTTGTTTTCATTGGTCCATATTTGTTACTTTGAGTGATGTGAGCACATATTTAAACAATTACGATATTGAAATTATAACGTAGCACGTATCAAGAAAAAACTTCTATCAAAAGCGTTATTGTAACTGTAATAATCTTATTATCATTATTTTTTTTGTAAGGGCCTTTAAAAATTACTGTAACACGATTTTATGTATTTTTTTTTTCTTTTTTCCTCTACACTAATTACCCTTACGAAAAGAAGCTCCTCCATAAAATTAATTCCTTATTACGCTAGTTATCCCGCTTAATATGACATACCGCTTAATAGACAGTTAAAAATAATATTGCAATATCTATGGTTTTTATCGATGTATTTTTTAATATTTTCAAATCCCTAGATAGCGTGTGTCAGAATTAGTTAATACTCCACTTGAACTCATAACAATTTTAAGAAAATGTATACTTCTTTGGAAATTTCTTATACCAAACGATCAACTCCCAGCACCCTTCCTATATCTGTTGTATCCTCCAGCCTAAACCCTTAGTCCACTCAATAAAAAAAAACGAGATCCCGTGTTTCTGACCTCTATATTCCATTCCTCAGGACAAAAACCTATGAACGTTCTTTCTTAGCCCGCTCCGTCTCCTATTGGAATTCTTTGCCGCATAACATCAGTCATGCCTCTTCCCTGTCAACTTTCAAATACCTCCTTTTCCAATATCTCCTTACATCCCAAACAGAAGATTTACCACCATAAATTTCATTTTATGAACTGAATTTGCGTGAAGTAAATAGTGGTGCCTACTGTTTAAGTTTTAACATAAAACAGCAATGATCTTTGTCACCTAGTTTGACTATTATTTTTACTATTTATGTCAGCAAATTCCCCCTCATCATCTACCTCTACGAGTCAAATTACCGCCACAGCAATCGCACCCATCTCATCCTAATGTCCAGAAAAAAAAAAAAACCAGCACAAGTATCGTCAGAATCCAGTCCCACCTCGTACACAACAACGAATCCC